GAGGCTGGACGGAGGGAACGGAGAGATGGCTGTGTGAGAACTCCGGGGGTCACGGGGGGTGGTGGGGTCTGGAGGGGTTCCAGGATGATGGGGCGCGCCCTCCTCATTGGGGAGGAAACTTGGGGAGCCCTGGCGTGTGTGGCTACCGAGCGTAGGGAAGTTGTCCCAAAGTCGTGCCCGAGGGAGCCCGTGCGGAAGAGCTCGAGAGCAGGAACTGCAGTTCGGGGGTGTGGAGAGGTGGGGGGTGGCCCGCAGATGGGAGAGGTGTGCGGGGTGGCCAGTGGAGAGCCCTGGACTGGAGCGGGGGGCAGGCATGTGCATCGTGGAGACCAGGGCGCCTGGGAAGGGGGCGGTGAGGAGGAGTCCGGGGTTCCCCGGGATGGTAAGGGGAGCGTTGTGTGGAGCAAGGAGGCAGCGGGAAGAAGCATCTGAGGAGCACCCCGAGGGGAGACGTGTTTGCGGGCGTCACGGGAAAGGACCCCACGGTGTGTGGAGCAGCTGGGAGGGGAATGCGCCCTGAGATGGTGTGTGGGAGCCTGGCGAGCTGGGCTGGGTTTTGTGACTCTGAGAAGTGTGGGTCCATTGGCGGAGTTGTGAGGGTTTGCAGGGGTCCGGTGATGAATTGCGGGGAGGCTGGGGTTCCTCCGCTGGGGTGTTACTAGCAGAAGTCGGTGTCTTCTTCCAGCCCATCTTTTCTCCTTCTGATGGGCTGTTTCCCATCTGTTAGAGGTGGGGACCCAAATTAGTAACTGACTCGAAGTTTGTCCATAGGACGAATAAAGACAGCAACGCACAGTTCTCCCCACTAGGGTCTTAGCTGTTCGGTAGCCGAGGCTTGGGGTGGGGAGGACTCCTTATGTAAGCGCCCCTCGCCTTGTGTCCCACTCTCCTCCGCACTCCTTCCCAGCGCACGGCCGTTAGACCATCCCCTGCACGCACTGTGTAGGCAGCGCCAATGCCCTTCCCTCACTCGGCAGTAATGTAGCAGCTGCTGTTGGCTGAGCACGTGTTAGGCACCAGGCACTGTATTGAACACTTTGTATAGGGTATCATTTGATCCCTGCAACCTCCGGGAGGGTAAGTGATATTACCTCCTCGCCCCCTTTTGAAATAATAAGTGGAAACGGAGACTTTGAGAGAGGGTCAGTGATTAGTCTAGGACCGTAGTCGGCAAACTGCGGCTCGTGAGCCACATGCGGCTCTTTGGCCCCTTGAGTGTGGCTCTTCCACAAAATACCGAATTCTGCGCACGGGCCACGAAGTTTCAATCGCACTGTACGGGTATTTTGTGGAAGAGCCACACTCAAGGGGCCAAAGAGCCGCAGTTTGCCGACCACGGGCCTAGGATCACAGCCTGTGGGTGGCAGGGTTGGTCTGTCGGTCTTCAAGCCCATGTTCTCTTCCTCTGCCGTCCAGTACAAATGGGAAAACTGTTCTGAGCAAGCTCAGTGGCTCCCCAGGGTCATCCAAACAGTCATGGCAGAGTTGGGCTTGAATCTTGGTCTCTGGGACGTCATGCCACCACCACGTGCTCATGGAGACCAACGAGAGAAAAGATGTGCTTTTCCCCTCACTTAGTGGCCCTTCTTGCAGTTTGAGAGGAGTTTGTGGGAAGCACCCAGTTATGCTGTCCATGTCTTGGCTCCAGCATCACGTTGTACTTTCGTTCTGTTACTTTAGTAAAAACTCAAAGATCTTCGAAGTGTGTATACGTACATGTACAAGTGAAAGGGGAAAGTCCCCTTTGTCCCTCTCCTCCTCTCCTTCCCCCATCCCCAGCTATTATTGCTATAAAAAGAGGTCATTGTGTGTATCATTTTGTGACTTTTTTTCACATACTCATGCCTGGTGATCCTTTCATATCAGCACAGAGAGCTCTTTATTATTTTTGATAACTGTGGTCCATTGGATGTTCGCACCATAGCTCATTTGTTGATGGACTTTTAGCTTGTTTCCAGTTTTTTCCCCGTGAGAAATGGCTGCAGTGGATGTCCGTATGGCCCTGTATGACTGTCAGTGGAATAGACGGTGGAATAGCAGAATCGATGTGTTTGTAAAGTGGTGACTGGTTCTGCCAAGTTGCCCCACGTTTCCACTCCCATCAGCAGCACCTGTTTCTACACACCTTTGATCAGGTCACTTATCACTTACAGAGGTGTGACTTCTCCTGTGAGATTCATATATATATATGTGTGTGTATGTGTATATATGTGTATGTATGTATATGTATATATATATATACACACACATACACACACACACATTTTATTGATTTCAGACAGGAAAGGAGAGGGAGAGAGAGATAGAAACATCAATAATGAGAGAGAATCATTGATCAACTGCCTCCTGCACGCCCCCTGCTGGGGATTGAGCCCGCAACCCGGGCATGTGCCCTTGACTGGAATCGAATCTGGGACCCTTCAGTCCACAGGCCAACGTTCTATCCACTGAGCCAAACCAGCTAGGGCCTCCTATGAGGTTTTTTAAGGCTTAGACCGAGTTCAGTGTTTCTGGTGAACTCTGATACCTTTTCTCTGAATGACAGTACAGCAGCTCTTGGCACAGGGCCTGCTGTGCAGTCAGGGCTCAGTGTGTGTGGATTGGCAGAAAAGGCGGCCCGTCATGAGGTCCTCCCAAGAGGCACCCAAAGAACGGAGCAGGGAGGCGGTGTAGATTGGGGCTGATAATACAGTAAGCAGGACTTTGCTGGGGGGGGGGTTAGTCCAAGAAGTAGGTGGTGTGGTTTCCGCCCTTCAGAAACTTACAGGCTAACAGGAGGCTACACAGAACGCTGCACGACGTGGCGGTGCCCATGATCTGTGGCATTTCTAAACGGGAGCCAGTCCTTGAGGACAGGGGGACCCTCATGGCGGAATCTGAGTTGGACATTCATGTAGGAGCAGCGGCAGAGAGATGTGGCGAATATGGCAGCAGAGGAGGTGTGGGTCTGACCCCTCCCCACTTCTAGCCTCAAGGAGCTTTGAGGGACCCATGGGTACTCATCCTGGAGCTTGGGAAGGAGGAGATGTGGGGCTGGTCGAGACCATCTGGGGAACCTGTGCCTGGGGGCTGGACAGAAAGGTCCGCAGAGGGATAGAGAGGCATCAGTTCCTGGGAGGACTGAGATGCTAAGGCTCCTGGGGAAGCCTTTGAGATGTTGCCTGGCTGAGAGAGGGAACAGCTGGAGGAGAGGCGGCAGCCATGCCTCAGAACTGTTCTGGGCTTGTGTATGTTCGAACAGTCTGGCCAGAGGAAGCGGCAGTGGGTGGATCTGCTGAGTAGAGAACTTCCAGATTCCAGACTTACCTGGCAGCCGCCGCGGCACTGGCAGATCAGGCAGTGGTGGCTGCCGGCGTTTGCCAGCGAACAGGGACTGGCCACCAGCACTTCCCCTTCCTGTGGGATTCCACTGCCTTGGGATGCTTCAACCACATGTTTCTGGTTCTTTCTCCCTCCTTCACCAGAAGAACTGGGAAGCGGACACAGAGCAGAGTGGGCCGACTGAGGTTCTCCACTTTCTTCACCCACAGACAAAAGTGACTGGGTATTATCAGCCCCTCCCCATTACCTGAAATTCCCTCATCTCCTCGCTGCCCCAGCCCCAGCCCCGATCTTAGTCTGGGCTCCTGGGATTTCTGGGACTGCCTCCTTGTGTGACTGGTCTCTCTGCCTTTAGCTTGGCCATCCCACCCACCCACCCCCTTCCCCAGCCATCTGTTCTCCACATTATAGCTGAAATTACCTTTGTAACATTTTCATGTGGCCATACTGGCCTTTTATTTTTCTTTATGATTTCTTCTATATGCTCCTTTAAAAAAATGTTTTATTGAATTTATTGGGATGGCATTGGGTAATACAATTACATAGGTTTCAGGTATATAAGTCTATACTACATCATCCGTATTTTGTATTGTGTGTTCACCACTACAAGTCAAGTCTCCTTCCATCACCATTTATCCTCCCTTTACTGTCTTCTACCTCCCTCTATCTCCCTTTCTCTCTGGTAATCACCATACTGTTGTCTGTATTTATGAGTGTGTTTTTTTCTTTGCTTAATCTCTTCACTTTTTTCAACCAGCACTGCAACCCCTCTCCCCTCTGACAGCTGTCAGTCTGATCTCTATCTGTGAGTCTGTTTCTATTTTGTTTGTTAGTTGATTTTGTTCATTAGATTCCACACATAAGTGAAATCATATGGCAGTTGTCTTTCTCCGACTGGCTTATTTCACTTGGCGTGATGCTCCCCAGGTCCATCCATACTGTTGCAAAAGTTAAGATTTCCTTTTTCGTGGCTGCGTAGTATCCCATTGTGTAAATGTACCACAGCTTCTTTATCCACTCATCTACTGATGGGCACTTGGGCTGCTTCCAAATCTTCGTTATTGTAAATAACTAGAGGCCCGATGCACGAAATTCGTGCGAGGGGCTCGGCCCCCACTGCCCTGGCATCTGGTCTAATTAGCATATTACACTTTTATTATTATAGATGCTGCAGTGAGCATAGGGGTGCACAAACTGGCCCTTTTAGAGTTCCTGAAGTCACCACGCACCTTTTGTCTGTCCTCTGCCAGCAGCACACCCCACTGCCCTGGCTAACTTCGGATGAGCCTTCAGGTCTTAGCCGAGCTGTCACTGCTTCTCAACTCCAGAGCTGGATTAGGTGTCCGTTTCCCCATAACATCCTTTGCTCCCTCTTGGTGGCCCTCGTCACAGGAGTGTTGGCTGTCGCTGCTTTTGCCTGTCTTCTGCACTGGACGGAGAACTCTGTGGGGACAGGAACCCCTCGTCTTCTCCTTATTCCTCCAGTGCTCACACAGTCCCTGGCTTGTTACAGGCAGTTGCTGCTGTTGGATGTTGGGTGAATGTAGGCTCTCAGCAGGCTGTGCTGGCGCTGGGGAGCGGAATGCTCTCTAATGGAAGCCCAGGAGAGCAGGAAGGATAGTGAGCAAGTACCTCGGGGCTGTGTTTGGTGATCAGCCTTTTCTTCACCTCTTCCCCCACCTTCTAAAACGACTCGTGGACAGGTAGACTTGGGGGACTGAGAAGATACATAAAGGATGAAAATTCAGCCCTGGCCAGTTTGGCTCAGTGGATAGAGCGTTGACCTGCGGACTGAAGGGTCTTGGGTTCAATTCCGGTTGGGGGCACAAGCCCGGATTGTGGGCTTGGTCCCTAGTGGGGGGCGTGCAGGAGGCAGCTGATCAATGATTCTCTGTCAGCATTGATGTTTCCATCTCTCTCTCCCTCTCCCTTCCTCTCTGAAATCAATAAATATATATATATATATATTTAAGAAGGATGGAAATTCAAACTTACAAGATGTTGATCACTGTGAATATGTATGTGTTGATTTAAACGGTAGAGAGAAAAAGGTGTGAAGGATGGGGAGGAAGTTCCGTCCTCACAAGGGGCAGACAGATGAGGCTTCTTTTCCATGGCACACCTGGTGACATATATTTATTCGTTCATTGTTTGTCCCACAACCCCTCCAGAATGTCAGCCACGCCTTGTTCAGCACTGTATCTTCTGTCTACAAATGTACCTGATACATAGTTGGGGCTCAATTAATATTTGAGGAGTAGCACTGCCTGGTGTGGCTCTGTTGGTTGGGCATTGTCTCAGGCACCGAAGGTTGCCAACTCAGTTCCCTGTCAGAGCACATGCCCAGATTGTGGACTTGATCCCCAGTAGGGGTCAGCCAATCAATATTCCGTTCACATCGATGTTTTCTTCTCTCTCCCTGCCTCTCTAAAAAAAAAAAAATTTAAAAAAAATCAATAAAATATTTTTAAAATAAATATTTGGGGGTAGGTGAATGAATGAATGATACTTTTGTCATATATTAATGCATGAGTATCCCTTTTTATCTTTTCAAAAGGAACCTACCATTGCCATTATGCCTGAAGGATAAATTCCTACAAATAAAATAAGTTCCCATAATTCCTAGAAGTGGAACTGCTAGGACAAAAGGAATGTGCATTTAAAGTTTTTATAGATCTGGCCAGATTGCCCTCCAGCAAGAGTGCATCAGTTTATGACCCCAGCGAAGGTGTATGAGTGTCCGTTTCCCCGGCCCCAGTCAGTGCCAGGCTGTACTCAGCATGTGTTCAGTCTCTGCTAAGCTGAGGTGAGACCTCTCCCTGGAGCCGGACAGAGGTGACAGCAGGGCTGTGCTGCCCTCCACATGCACAGGCCAGAGAGGCCAGGGCCCTGCGAGCCCCAGGGAGAGGGAGAGGGGTGCAGATGGGCACCTGAGAGGCTGCCGGGAACTGGCAGTCCTGGAGCGAGGCTTTGAGAATGGGCTCGGCCTGGAAAAGGTGTCTGGGGCCAGACTGTGGCTTCTGGTGGGGGCACTGAAGTTCTTTTCAGCAAGCACACGATGTGCGGGGATTGGCTGCAGTAGACACAGCTGTGCTGTGCATGGTGGCAGGAGGCCTGTAAGCCACAGACATCCCTGCTGATGGGTCTAGGTAGGATCTCAGAGGGACCATAGCTCCCACAAAGGATGGGGCCCATGTCAACTTGTGGAAGGATGGACAGGGAGAATAAAAATAAGAGGCAGAGCCAAGACCGGTTTGGCTCGGTGGATAGAGCATCGGCCTGCAGACTGAAGGGTGTGGAAGGATGGACAGGGAGAATAAAAATAAGAGGCAGGAGTTGGCATTTAGTGGCCCGTCTTCTGTGCTAGGTCTTGGACTGAGACGAACTGAACACGAGGGGCAGGCACTCTCATAAGCCCCATTTTATAGCAGGGGAAATGGAGGCTCAGAGAAAGCCCATGACCTACCTGAGATCGTGCCGCAGGTGGGTGGGCGAGTGGGCCTGGAGCTGAGGCTGCCCCAGCCCAGAACAGTGGCGCCCTTGGGGAGAAGCCAGGGACCAGTCCTGCACTCAGGGCTTTGGCCAGGGCCTCCGGAACGTGGCCAGGGGCCAGGATCCTGCCTCGCAGGTCGTTGGCCGAGTGTCTCCAGATGACCTGTTGACAGACCAGAGCAGACTGGGGCAGCCCGTGCCAGCAGACGGTGTGAAGTGGTTGGCAGGGGCCCTGGGTCATGTCTGTGGCACGTCTCCCTCATTCTGGGCAGACTCGAGTGGGACGATTGGTCCCCACAGTGGTAAAGCTTTGCATTGGAGCAGGAGCTGAGCCAAGCCACCCACTCTTGTCCCTAAACTCCAGAAGTAGCTTCCTACGCCTCCCAGAGATAGACGCTCTGGTGGGAATAGTGAGACGCCTCCACCAGCAGTCTTAGGGACAGCACCTGCCTTTGGGCGGGGGAGGAGGAGGACCCAGGGCTATTAACGCCTACCTCCCCTCCTTCATCCCCAAGCCGACTTCTCCCCAAAAGGCAGGGAGAGGTTACGCCCCAGCTGGCCCCGCTTTGATTTCAGGGGTTAAGGACTCCTCTTCAGCTCTTTCATTGTGGGCGACTTGGCAGGTACCCTGGCGGCAGATCTCGCTTGCCCTCTCACACGCCATTTAACCCTGGCTCAGGGTCTTCACGCCTGAAGAAGTGGCTGCTGCTGTCATTGTAGGGGTAGGAGCTGGTGCTAGTTGCCCTGAGGGAGGGACACACATCAGTGAGCCTAAGCCCTGCTGTCTTCCTGTTGCCTCTGTGTCCCCAGGCTCAGGTGGCTTTCCTCCAGGGAGAAAGGAAAGGGCAAGAGAATCTCAAGACGGACCTGGTGCGGCGGATCAAGATGTTAGAATATGCGCTGAAGCAGGAGAGGTGAGCCCTGCTGCCCCGGCCCTGCCTCTGAGAAGTCAGTCCCCAGCAGAGGGTGAGAGGCCGGCTGCAGCCTTCCACCGAGGGAGAGTTGGGATCAGGCGTTCTCCCGTCACCAGTACTCTGCGGTTCTAGGAGAGGGGACAGAACGAGACATAGCAGGTGGATTCCGCTTAGACACCCGTGACGGTGTTCATAATGATGGTGGCCACTGTGTGCCAGACACCATCTGTTCATAATGTCTCATCTCTTCCACTGGCCTGATGGGTACAGTGGCTTCTGGAGAGTGAGGACTTCTTTCAGGACTCCTGGGGCTGGGATAGCAGCCCAGCCTGCCAGGCTCTGGAGAGAGGGTTCTTCACAGCCACCCCCCCCCCCCCCCCCCAGGGCTGCTTTATACTGTGGGCAGGTTGGGGAGCTCAGCCTCAGAGGAAGGAGAGTGGATTGGGGGCACCTGGGATTTGGGATGCCTGAGGTGAGTGCTGTCGTGTCTACTCTTCTGTCTCATTTGTTACTCCTTTGCTCCTTTAGGGCTAAATATCACAAACTGAAGTTTGGGACAGACCCGAACCAGGGAGAGAAGAAGCCAGAACTATCAGAACAAGGTACCCCCCCACCCCGAACCTCCCTACTTGACCCCCCCTCCCCAAACCGAACCGCCTCTTCCTTTGCTCCATAGGAAGCAGCATTGGCGGGGGCTGGGGAGGGATTGACTCGCTCCCAGGGCCCCTCCCCACAGGCTGCTCTGTCAGGCACAGGGCACAGGGCACCGGGCACGGGGCTGGACCCCTGGGGAGAGGCAGGGGTGGGTAGTGGTGAAGAAGCCCAGTCCTGCCTGCTGTCCCTGTGTGAAGTAGAGACAGACACACAAGGCCCCATCAATATTTGATGAATAAAATGAACAGATGATCTCCTTTAATCCACACAACAATCCCAAAAGGCGTAGGTACTGCTGTCATTAGCTTTATTTCTCAGAAGAGGAAACTGAGGCTCATATAGGCAAACTAACCAGCTCAAGGTCACACCTGGGAAGTGGCAGAGCTGGACTTGGACCCAGTTGAGTCTGCCCGTTCTGTCAGAATTGGGCCAGCTTCCTGTGTGGGAAAATAGCGTAACTAGAGCTGAGTCTGAAGGTAGTCTGGGGGTGGTTTGGGGAATGACCAGTCAGGAGACTAGAGATAAGGAGCAGGGAGGGAAGAGTAGGTTTCAAACACTCAGAAAGTGACTCTGCAGAACCCATGACAGTGACCAATTTGGGTTGGAGGGTGAGGAAGGTGGGGGTGGGGCTGGTGGGTATGTGGTGGTACCCTGACTAAGACAGTCTGTCTCCTTTCTCTCCATCCCCCAGTCTCCAATGGCCCTGTGGAGTCGGTCACCCTGGAGAACAGCCCACTGGTGTGGAAGGAGGGGCGGCAACTTCTTCGACAGTGAGTGTGCAGGGGGACGGGTATGGGGGCGGGGCAGGGGGGCGAAGGCCATGCCTGGCTTGGGAGATAAGCCTGAAGCCTCCACAGCCCTGCCTGTCCCCACTGGGGACACAGCTGAGATGGCCTGTCACCATGTAGGTGGAGCCGCCTGGGGAGAGGGCGGGAAGATTCGATGCAGGAGGCAGTCGGGGAAGACCTCCACTCTTGGAATGCAACCCCAAATGCCTGTTGCTTTTCTTTTTTTTAGGGGTAATGTTAAATTATTATTATTATTATTTTTTCTTTTTCTTAAAATATATTTTATTGATTTTTTACAGAGAGGAAGGGAGAGAGATAGGGAGTCAGAAACATCGATGAGAGAGAAACACCGATCAGCTGCCTCCTGCACATCCACTGGGGATGTGCCCGCAACCAAGGTACACGCCCCCGACCGGAATCGAACCTGGGACCCTTCAGTCCGCAGGCCAACGCTCTATCCACTGAGCCAAACCGGTTTCGGCAAATTATTTTTTATTACTAAAGAGATTTGTGTTTTTCAGAAAATTTGGGAAATATAGGGAAACACAAAAAATAGAAATCACTCATAATTCCACCACCCAAGGAACTTCATCCCCCATAAACACTTTGGCATATATACTATCAGTCTCTTCATGGCTGTGCATTTGTGTTTGTGTATGTGTTTTATAAACGGGCTTCCCCTTCACCATGTTTTCTAATGCGTTGCTTTTGCTCAGTGTTGTGAACGTCTTCTCATATAAATTAGTTAGGTTGCATGGGTTGAAGAACTGTGTAATAGTCTGTGGCATGAGTAACCATAACTTGCCATAGCCAATCCCTTCTTGTGTATTTTATTGAAGATGTTTTTATAGATAGTGTAACAAACGTCAGGAAGTTATTTGTCTGTGTCTTCGATTTCCTTAAGTTAATATCTGGAAGTGAAATTGCTAACTTAAGTGTTATTGCAAACAATAACAACAACGTGATTGCAACAGGCAACACTTGCCAACTACCTAGTATACGCCTGGCACTGTGCTAAACATCTGGCACACCGCGCTTCCTCACATGAGTCCCCGTAGGGCATACCTGCCCATTCCCCTCATTTTCACAGACGAAAACCCAAGGTGCAGAGAGGGACCTGCTTGCATAAAGTCACACAGCTAACAGAAGCAGAGGGTCCGAGGGGTGATCTCGGTCAGTCTGCGCCCAGAGCCCAGCTTCTTCACCCCATGCTTCCCTCCTCCCGTGGTGGGAGGGGAAGCCTCATGCACGCAGGCGCACAGGATGAGACAACAGGGAAGGCGAGTTCTGTCTAATGTGCGAGGGGCAGGGTCCCAAGGGACAGGGTCATGGTAAACAAAAGGCTTTCAGGGAGCCTCCTGAGGACCAGCAGGGACTCACCTCACATCTTTTGAAGCCACCCCCTCTCCCCCGCTTTCAGACAGTTCCAGTTGGCTTCAGTTTTTTTAATTGTGGGATTAGCCCTGGCAGATGGCTCAGTTGCTTAGAGTGTCGTCCTGTGCACCAAGAGGTTGCCGGTTCGATCCCCAGTCGGGGCTCATGTGGGAGGCAACCAATCAATGTTATTAATGTCTCTCTCTCTCTCTCTCGTCAATAAACATACTTTGGGTGAGGATTAAATAAATAAATAAGTTGCCGAAGTAATACGTGCTCATTTGTAGAGTAAATAGAGTAAGTTCCAAAATTCCTCTATGTTCCTAGTCCAGTGATGGCGAACCTATGACACGCGTGTCAGAGGTGACACGCAAACTCATTTTTTTGGTTGATCTTTCTTTGTTAAATGGCATTTAAATATATAAAATAAATATCAAAAATATAAGTCTTTGTTTTACTATGGTTGCAAATATCAAAAAATTTCTATGTGTGACATGGCACCAGAGTTAAGTTAGGGTTTTTCAAAATGCTGACACGCCGAGCTCAAAAGGTTCGCCATCACTGGCCTAGAGGTCACTGACGACTCTTAAGTTTAGTGTGTGTCTTTCTTGCCTTGTGGGGGCATGCTACAAATGTGTGTGTGTGTGTGTGTGTTCTATACTTACAAACTCATTAACACTTTATTTTATTTTTAATCTTTACATGAGGATATTTCCATCAGTTTAGAGATTTGGAGGGAAAAATGGAGGGAGGGAGAGAGACATTGACATGAGAGAGACACATTGATTGGTTGCCTCTGCAGGGTCCTGACCTGGATGGGGATCAAACCTGCAAACCCAGGGACATGCCCTTGACCAGGAATCAAACCCACAACCCTTTGGTGTGCAGGCCAACACTCTAACCACTGAACCACACAGGCCAGGGCTTTTAAACTTTATTATTATTATTTTAATCATTAGCACTTTTTTTTTTAAAACAAACACTTGAATTGTATGGAACATGTGACTTACAATTTTTGTTAAGCCATTTATCGTGGCCAGCTTCCCGTGGTGCTCTTCCTCGTTTAGTTCCTGCCTCGTGTCCCCACGGGTAATTTGCTTCCACAGTCCTCGTCAGACGTGTAGGTCGGCCCCCGTGTTTGGGTCTCCTGCACAGCATCGCAGTGAGCATCTGTGCCACAGCACTGGTGTGTAAAGCCACCACTATATTGAAAGTGAAACAGCAGGGTCGGGGCTGCTTATTGAAATTTTTGGTGTGTGGTCTTAAGTCGCCCCTCCAAAAAAGCAGTCCCAGTGTGCTGTCCTTTCCATAAGCCCCCGTATATAGAGAGGGCTCAGGGCGCTTGACCCTCCTGGCTCTGCTTCCATGCAGGTACCTGGAAGAGGTGGGCTACACGGACACCATCCTGGACATGCGGTCCAAGCGTGTGCGATCCCTCCTGGGACGCTCATTGGAGATCAACGGGACCGTGGAACCCAGCGAAGGGGGCCCCAGGGCCACACCAGGCCCCGGGGGGCTCAGCGGTGGGGAGTCACTGCTGGTGAAACAGATAGAGGAACAGATCAAGAGGTGAGCCCTTGGGTCTGACGGGTCCGTCCCTCTGTGCCTCCTCCCTCCTGCGGAAGCCAGTGTCGGAAAAGTGAGCCGGGCCTCAGGGGCCCTGCTGGCCACTTCCTTCTTGAACACATTGTGGGGCTCGCTTGTTCCAGAACCCTCTGTCTGTTCATTGTGGGAGCCCTGATTTTGTACGGGGTCCCCTGTACATACTCTCCCTAGGCCTTGCCTCAGTGCTGATAGCACACCACGGCTCATCTCCAGCCTGGCCCCTCTCCTGAGGCTCAGGCCCGTACGCCCCTCAGCAGACATCGAGCACCTGCTGAAGGCGGACCCCAGGCCACATGCCAGGGCCTGGCGGGGAACAAAGCACACAGACACCCCCTTTGAGGAGCTCTTATTTGTTCATTCTCTCAGCCATAATTGTTACTCGTCAGAATCAGTAATGTGATGCTCGGTGCTGTGAAGAAAAGGAAAGGTAGTAAGAAAGAGTGATGGGAAGAATAGTACCGCTCTGGGTAAGGTAGGTAGTAGGACCTCTTGGTGGAGGCGATGTTTGGGCAGGAAGTACAGGAAATGGAGGATGAGCCACATAAGTAGTTGGAGCGAGAATAAATGTTCTGGGCAGAGGGAACAGCACGTGGAAAGGTTCTGAGGTGGAGACTTGGCATGTTCCGGAAGCAGCAGCAGGCCAGCGAGGCGGCGGTGGGGCCTGTGGTCTGTGGTGAGGCTGAAATCTCAGGAGTCAGATCAAACGGCCTCGCTGGTTGAGATAAGGAGTTTGGATTCTCTTCTAGGGTTGTGGGAAGCCCGTGGTTACCAGCAGGAGTGTGATGTGATCTGATGCCCGCCGTCTGCTTCAGGACGGCATCGCTGCAGGGGGCAGGAGTGTGGGCAGGGAGACCAGTTGGGGGACAACTGCAGCGCCCAGGCAGAGATGGCATTTGTTAGGTGGAAGGGTGAGAAGTGGTTAGCTTCTCAATGGGTTTTTAGGGTAAGTCGGCACGATTTAAAGGATTGGATGTGAGGGAGAGGGACGAAACTAGAGCTGCCTCCAGGGTTGGTCTGAGCCGCTGGGAGCAGCACTGACGGAGATGGGGAAGGCGAAGAGCGGCACACCAAGGGGGCTGTTTAGGATGGGTGGGATTCGGGGTGCCTGGTGACCCAGTGTAGGTTGTGAGTAGCCAGCCTGGAGCTGGGGCTGGGCGCTTGATTCCTAAATTGACCTCTGTTCACCAGCACACAGCGGTTTTTGCAGTCTCTGAAGGAGAGAGTGTAGCTGGCAGCACAAACAGGAGGTCTGAGGACTGAGCCCTGGGGCTCTTGTGTCTAGAGGCCAGAGAAAGAAGCTGAGCTTCGGCAGCTGTGGGAGGAACCCGGGAATGGTGTCCCAGCAGCTGAGCAGAGATGTTCTGCTGGGAGGATATACATGGGGGGGCCAGGAAGTGAGTGACGGATTTGGCTGCCTGGAGGAAAGCGCTCTCTACCGGGCCAGAACCATACACTGACCAACTCTCAGGAGCAGGGGTGGGAAGGTCCGCCCCGAGGGCCATACGAGGCCCTTGAAATCATTTGGTCTGGCCCTGCCAAGGCATTAGGGGTGAGTTAATTAAATGTTTGACCAAATATAGCAGGCTAATTTTTAAGTTGATAATTTTATATGGCTCGCAAATGGTGTTATAAATGGCCCTTGGCAGAAAAAAGGTTCCCCACCCCTGCAGGCTTGGCCATGGTCCCTGGCTGTAGGGCCCGAGCATTGGTGGTGACCAGTTTCCCATTCCTCCAGGGTGCGTCTCTGTCGCTCACCTGGCCTGTGCTTGTGGTTTGACCGGGCCATGGGAACAGCGGCTGCTGAGTCAGTGGCATTTTCTCATCCAGCTCTCCTGACTCAGCACACGTGGGGAGACCTGTGGTCAGGGTTGGGGGCTAGTCCCCTGGAACTCGGAGTCGAGCTCAGTGAGGAGTTGGCCCAGTCTGTGGTCCACAAGGGGGTTTGAGTCGGGTGAGCATCTGTTAGGCAGACACTGGGTTGAAGCCCTGTGTATGATCACAGTCAAGGCTCCTCTGGGTCGTGGTGGGTCAGCCCCCTGAGAGCTGGGCCCAGGCTCTGGCCACCAAGCCTCACCCTGGCATCTGAGCTTTGTCACATGGCAGGACTCATGCCCCCTTTACCCCCTGTTGTGGGCAGGAATGCAGCAGGCAAAGATGGCAAAGAGCGCTTGAGTGGCTCGGTGCTGGAGCAGATCCCCTTCCTGCAGAACTGTGAGGACGAAGACAGCGACGAGGACGACGAACTGGACAGTGTGCAGCACAAGAAGCAGCGCGTGAAGGTGCGTGTGTGAGCCAAAGGAAGCGCTCCTCCTCCTCCCAGGGGATCCCCCTGCTTTGTGTACCAGGAACAGGGTGCCCCCGTGGATGCTCTCAGGGCTCCCTCTGTGGGCTGTGTGGCCTGACCACATCCCAGGTCCCTGTCGCCTTGCCTCAGTCACCTTCAGAGGAGCCAGGTCTCTACTGTGAGGGCCGCCTCTGCCCCGCCTGCACCCTGTTCTCTCCATCCTCCCCTCCAGCTCAGGGGTTCCCGAGAGGCCTTTCCTGAACTCCAGACCAGGCCAGCCCCATGGTGCCCTCTGGCAGCGCTCTCTCCTTCGGGCTGTCTGATCAGTCATACTCAGATATTTTTTTTGGTGTGACTGTGGTTCTCTGTCTCCCACAGTAGATTGTGAGCTCCACTCTGGGCCTTTTCACTGTTCTCTCTCCAGCTCCCTGAATGAGTGCAGCTGGGCCCAGGGTTCAGCCTAGAGCCAGGTTGGAGTGCTTCGTGGGGGCTTCAGAGGATGCGTGTGTCCAGTCTGCTGTTGATGTCAGGATTCAGTTTCAGGGACTCTGACCACAGGGTAGAGTCCAGATCCCCTCAGCTGGACCTCGAGATATGGCTCCCACCACATTTCACCCTCATGACAGCGCTGACCTTAGGCATGGCATAGTCTCATCTGACCAGTAAACATCAGTGTGGGCCTTTGTGGACCAGCTCTGTGCTGGCAGCCGGGGTGGGAGACATCGTTGCTGACGTGCAGGAGCTTGTGGGCATCGGCAGGCTTGTAAGCAACCATGTGCCACAGGGGGGTCAGGAGCAAATACCTGTGAAGTGCGGGTCGGGGGACTGGAGATGGCCTTTTATTCACCCAGCCTTTCATCAGACTCCTTCCTTCTTTAGACTCACCTTAGACACACCCCTTCCTCCAGGAAGTCTTCCCTGACTCACCCTTGCTCCCCTTTCCTCCATAGGCTCAGGAGCCTCTTGGAGGTCCCTTGTCCCACCTGAACCACTCTGGGTCCTCCCTGTCTGGTATTGGGTCTGTATCCCTCCTGCCCCATCCTTGTGAGGGGCCTCCACATTCTCTCCAGTGTGACTCAGCCCAGACTAGGTGCTCATTGAATTCACTGAGTGGAAGGGAGTGCACGGAGCCAGACCCTAGAGTTGGGTTTACAGGAGAATCAGCAAGTCTCTGAGCACGGGCTCTCCAGCATTGTTCCCTGGTCCAGAATGCCTGGTCCCCACTGCCCCCCACTAGGATTTGCACTGCTGTGCACGTCTTACCTCAGCCTCCTCTGGGAAGCCTTCCCACTCCCCTCTGCTCCTCCTGCAGAGGAATTATTGCTGGCTTTTCATATTTCCTTAGGCATTTGCATCTGCCACTGCCCCTGTGCTACGAGCCTGTGGGTGGCTTATTGTCTAGGGCAGTGGTCGGCAAACTGCGGCTCGGCAAACCGCGGCTCGCGAGCCACATGCGGCTCTTTGGCCCCTTGAGTGTGGCTCTTCCACAAAATACCGACTTCTGCGCATGGGCCACGAAGTTTCAATCGCACTGTACGTGCGCGCCCGCATGTGGTATTTTGTGGAAGAGCCACACTCAAGGGGCCAAAGAGCCGCATGTGGCTCGCGAGCCGCGGTTTGCCGACCACGGGGCTAGGGTGTCACGCCTCCCCATGCCCACCCAGCAGATCTTCAGTGACCAGACTGATTTGAAAGACCTGCTCATGGCTCCCAGGCTGGCCCGGGCCTGCTGTGTAACGTTGGCTACCTGATTCTCTTGTCTTAACTTTAGTTTCAGAGGATAATGGTCCCTGTCTCTGGATTGTTGAGCACATAGGAAGCCTTGGCTGCACAGTGGCTGCCGCGCTGAGTGCTCAGTGGTGGCTGTGGTGGGACTGAGCAGGGGGAGCACAGGCACAGGCAGGGTGGCTGTTCAGGGCCCCTGTACGGTTCCACAGTCCTGTGAGCCCCAACTCCCGCCAGTGCCTCTCTGAGCCTGCTGTTTACAACTTGGCGCTAGGTCTCCTGGGAAGGAAGAGGAGGGCGCCCGCCCATGGTGCCATCCCTCTGGTCCTCTCACACAGGCCAGAGGCTGGCCCCTCACGGATGCCTGAAAGGTGTTGCCTGCAAGTGTGTACCCTCCAGACCCAGCTAGGGGTGCTGAGCCCGTGGGAGGGGTTCAGCATGCCCTTGAGGAGTCTGCAGTCTGAGTGAGGCTGGTCCCGTGGCTGCCCGGGACACGGTCTAGTCAGGAACCCTTAGGAAGGAGAAGAGGAGGTGGTTGAGTCTAGTGTCGTCAGGATCCCCATATTGGTTGGGGTGTGTTCTTAACGTAGCACTTACAACAGAACTCAGATGTCAAAATTGTCTGGAAAATTCTGGAAGTCCCTTAAGCCTTAGGTGCGGTGTTTGAGGTTCCAAGTGCACACACACCCTGGATGGTTCTTTGTGTAAAATGTCATGGTGAGAGGGAGAGAATCACATGCTAGATGTCATTTCATAAGGCTGTGTCTAAAAGGTGATGGGGAATTGTAAAATAGGCTTGTAAACTGAGGGAAACTGATGATTTGGTTCCTGCCCTCAGTTAAGACCGGCTGTGGAAAACTTGGCAAACTCATTATTCACTTGCCCAGCAGTCTGTTCTCAGAGTGGAGGAACTGTGTTGTTTTTTCTCATTCTAAAAGTAGCGTGTGCTGGTTATGTAAGAAAACAAAAACTCGGCCAATCTAGAGAGCTCTCAGGAAGACTTGGAGAACCTGGGGCAAGGAGCTTGACTTTGCTCAGCCTCATCTCTCCATGTGTAATAATGAGATAATACGTGCAACAGTGGTAACTACCATGTTCTGAGATGTGAAATCATAGGTTTGAGTCTTACTCAGTGCACTGAATAATGCAGAGGCCAGCAGTGTTTGATGAGGCTCTGTTATTATTACTGTTACATTCTTGGGTCTGTTCTCACTTTTATTTTTTCCTTTTCGTTAATCTTCACTCCAAGGATATATTTTCCATTGATTTTTAGAGAGAGTGGAAGGGAGGGAGAGAGGGATGGGAGAGAGAGAAAGAGAAACATCGATGTGAGAGAGACATATCGATTGGTTGCCTCCTGTACATGCCCCGACCAGGGCTGACCCAGGGATTGAACCAGCAACCGAGGTATGTGACCTTGACTGTGAATTGAACCCGAGACCCTTTGGTGTGCGGGCCGGCCCGCTAACCACTGAGGGCACCAGCCAGGGCACTGTTCTCACTTTGTGCACCTCCATACACTCGTAGACACAAACATATCACCCTCTCCCTGAAGCAGGTTGTCATATTGACTTTTCTTCATGAGAAATACTGTGTTGGGGGGCAGGGATTGGAGGAGTGGGAACAGCCTGAGCAGAAGCAGGAGGAGGGCTGTGAGGGGATCACAGCTGGAGGTGGAGGAGGGGGGTCTCCAAACTCAGGCTGGGGCTGCCCAGGGAGCAGCCTCCGAGGACTCCAGCAGGGGGAGCACAGCCGCCAAAGTGAGGCCGGGCGGAGGGAGCTGGTGGCTGGTGTGGTGGTTCCTCACAGGGGCCCTGGCTTCTCTGTTCCTGGAGGCTCGGGAGGGCTTGGCTGTGGCATGAGTTCCCTGACTGTCTGGTTCTCTCCCTGCCCCAGCTGCCAGCCAAGGCCCTGGTGCCTGAAATAGAGGATGAAGATGAGGAGGACGACTCGGAGGATGCCATCAATGAGTTCGATTTCCTGGGCTCAGGCGAGGACGGGGAGGGCTCTCCGGACCCTCGGCGATGCGCTGGAGAGGGGGCCCACCATGAGCTGGGTGAGTGGAGGGTTTTCTGGCCAGCCTCACCGGGGGCAGCAGGGGCACACACAGCTGCCTGCAGCTGCTTCCTGCCCCAGGGTCTCCACCGGATGGACATACTTCCTGAGAGGAGGGGGGCCGAGGGAGAGCAGGAGGGCCGCGCCACAGCAGCCAGGCCTGCACCCCCTCCCTGGAAAATCCCCGTGGGGACACAGGCAGGCCCGGTTCTTCCTGACGTGGGGCTGCCAGCCTCGTGCACGCGTGTGTCCAGTTCTTGTGGGCCTCAGGGAGGAAACAGGATGGGACCAGCGGGGAGAGGCCGTCGGGGCAGTGCTGCCTCTTCCTCCGGTCCTGGGACTCTGAGCTGGGAGGCCCTCGGGGTCACGGGACATGGCTGGAGACCGAGGTTTCTGCAAGGGCAGTCCATGGAGGGTCCCTGCTCAGTCTCTGTCCATCCCCACCCCACCGTGAGCCCCAGTGCACTCTGGGCCGGGCTCCCCAGCTCCCACGGAGCGGCTTCTGGTGGGGAAGGAGGCGCCTGTGCATGGCTGGGTTGAACTGGTGGTGACTCCTGCCTGGGCCGCGTCCCTGCAGAAAGCCGGCGGGTCAAACTCCAGGGAATTTTGGCCGACCTTCGGGATGTGGATGGGCTGCCCCCCAAAGTGACAGGACCGCCTCCTGGCACACCCCAGCCTCGGCCACACGAAGGTAAGAGGCCCCTCCACCCTGACAGAGGGAGGCTGCAGAGCTAAGCCCAGGGCTTCTGTGTCCTCAGGGTCGAGGCCCGGCCCCTAGTTTGCAGCCTCCCTGTCCCAAAAGTTCGTCTGTCTGTCTCTGTCTCCCCCTCTTTTTGTCCTGCCCTGTCTGCCTGCCTGTCTGTCTCTCCCTGTCTCTTTCTTTCCAGCTGTGATTCTTGATCTTGACCTCTCCCTGTCTCTCTCACACCTCACCTCTCTCTCCGTCTCTCTGTCTCTCTCTCTCTCTCCCGGCCCCTCTCTGCCTCCTCCCTCCCCTCCCCCCACCAGGTTCCTTTGGCTTCTCCTCAGACGTTTTCATCATGGACACTATCGGGGGCGGGGAGGTGAGCCTGGGGGACTTGGCAGATCTCACCGTCACCAATGACAACGACCTCAGCTGTGACGTAAGTTCTCAGGGTGCCCACCCCCCACGACCCCCACTGGGCATTCGCGCAGTGGCAGCATCTGCTGAGCGATGGCTGGCACGGCCCGTGCTCAGTCCCTGACACGCGAGGACCATGTGAGCCCTTTCACCGCTCAGCTGTTAGACATAGGGGTGCGACGCAGACAGGTTCGGGGGCCTGACAGGCTCACCAGCGGCAGAGCCTAGAAGACTCTGGAGCCTGTGTCTTAATCACGGTGCCAGGCTACTTCTCCAGGGGTCGTCCCTCCCCACCCGGCTTACTCATGGGCACCTCAAGTCCAGGACCCACCTGCTGGGGGTAGGGTGAGGGGGAGCAGAAGCTAAATGCAGCATCGGGAGGAAGGGGCTCGGCGGGCAGCGGTGCGGGTAAGACACTGCAGAAAGTTGGACTTGAGCAGACCTTTGGAGGGAAGATGGCCTCCAGCCCACAACCAAGAAACCAGGCCAGTCTGGCGCGCGTGGGGGCTGTGGTGCAGTCGGGCGGGAATGAAAGGGAACTTGAGGGCCAGTGCTCTTGGCCTGAGACCCATGGGGGACCCCGGCCACCTGGGAATGTGGGATCGGGTGCGGGTGCACTTTCCTGCGCAGGTAGCAGGACACTCGCAGAGCTTCTAGCACAGCAGATCTCAACCTGTGGGTCACGACCCTTTCACAGGGGTCACCTAAGACCATCAGAAAACACATATATAATTACATATTGTTTTTGTGATTAATCACTATGCTTTAGTTATGTTCAACTTGTAACAATGAAAATACATCCTGCATAGCAGATATTTACATTACGATTCATAACAGTAGCAAAATTACAGTTATGAAGTAGCAACGAAAATAATTTTATGGTTGGGGGTCCCCACAACATGAGGAACTGTATTAAAGGGTCGCGGCATTAGGAAGGTTGAAAACCACTATTCTATCAGGATCTCAGGTGGCTGATGATCCCAGCGGGTCGGGCACAGCGGTGGGAGGCTGGGAACGGGGCCAGAGCTGAGCTTTGAGCAGAGGAGCTGCCCCAAGTCTGACGCTTCCTGGGGAGTGTGTGAGTGGGGGGGTCGAACAAGGCAGAGCCTCTGGCCCTAAAGAATGTGGCAGAAGTGGCACCTGGGGCGGGGGCCATGGGACGAAGCCTCGAAGCCTCGATGAAAGGGTTTGTCAGGTGTGAACTCTATCTTGGGGGGGACACTGAGGTTTGCTTTTTTTTCTACAAGGTCCCTCACTCAGAGAGCGACACCCCCACCCTCCAGGGCATGTGCAGTGTTTCTGGGATTTTGCTCCCCAGTCTCTTCCCATTGGGTTTACTTGTCGCCATTTCCACACCTCAGCCACCCTCCCCCATTGCTTTCTGCATCCAGGCCTCCTCTCAGGCTCTGGGTCCATCCTTGCTGCCTCCTGCCTCAGGGACTGTGCATATGCAATGTCCTTCCTCGGTCCCTTCACCCTATCTGGTTAAGTCCTGCTTATCTGTCACTTGCTCAGGAGGAAAGCCTGCTGACCCCACAGAGGCAGGCAGGCTGCTCGGTGCCTCTTCCCAGTACATTTTTTATTCTTTAATATATTTTTATTGATTTCAGAGAGGAAGGGAGAGTGAGAGAGAGATAGAAACATCAATGATGAGAGAGAATTATTGGCTGCCTCCTACACATTCCCCACCAGGGACTGAGCCCGGGCATATGCCCTGACCAGGAATCGAACCGTGACCTCCTGGTTTGTAGGTCGATGCTCAACCACTGAGCCACGCCAGCTGGGCCTCCCAGTGCATTTTCAACTCGTAGCACTGCTTGTAGTTTATAAGCCTGTGCACAGGTGGGACGATCTGAGTGTCTCCCCACCCCCCCCACCCCCTGCGAAATCCCAAGGGTTTGGGCTCACCTTTGTCTCTTCAGAACCAGGAACAGCCCTGCACACAGTAAGAACTTGTTGAGTGAGGGGCTGCTGCAGGGCCAGGAAGAAGAGGGGAGCCTCGGGCTGGAGGCCAGGCAGTGGGGTGCTTCACCTGGGTCTCGGTGGTGGAGGACGAGCCCTTGGAGTCCTGGATGCGAATATCTGTGCAACTGCTGGGGTGGAAGAGGAGACACTGAGGCGGCTCCCTCCATCCCCCAGCTGTCTGACAGCAAAGATGCCTTTAAGAAGACGTGGAACCCCAAGTTCACCCTTCGGTCACACTACGATGGCATTCGCTCCCTGGCTTTCCACCACAGCCAATCGGCTTTGCTCACCGCTTCCGAGGACGGCACGCTCAAGCTCTGGAACCTGCAGAAGGCTGTCACCGCCAAGAAGTGAGGGCACAGCCCCGAGGGTGGTGGAGGGGGCATCGGGGCCCAGGAACAGGTGATGAGGGGCTGTCGGTGACATGTGTCTCCCACAGGAATGCTGCACAAGACGTGGAACCTATCCATGCCTTCCGGGCTCACAGGTAGGGAGGGAGGTGCCCCCACAGGCAGGGGGTGCTGACAGGTGGCGGGGCAGCAGGAGGGTTGAGTCCCTGGGGCCCTCTGCACACACACCCCTGGCCCTGGATGCTCTGCAGTGCCCCCACAGCTGGCTCCCAGCACAGCCTTTGGAGGAGGAAATACATGGGGTGGGGGAAGGCAGAGGACGGGCAACTTGCCCGGGTGGCACAACAGAAGCCCCAGAAGCTGAATTCCTGTCGGCCACCCCCGAAAAATGCTGGTAGAGAAAGAAGGGCAAGGTCTTGGGGAGGGGCGAGTGTTGAGTTTTTCGTGCCCCCCCCCCCTTGAATCCTCCAGGGGCCCCGTGTTGGCAGTAGCCATGGGCAGCAACAGTGAATACTGTTACAGTGGTGGGGCAGATGCCCGCATCCACAGCTGGAAGATTCCAGACCTCAACATGGACCCCTACGATGGTTACGGTGAGACAGCTCTTGCCCTTCCTTCCCCCACCGTCGTCCACTGGGGCCTCTTCCCTCCGCACATGTAGCCAGCATCCGCCCATGCCTAACACAGCAGGGGCTGGCGGGGGGTGCTCAGCCTGGTTTAGCGTGGAACAGCGTGACTCAGCATGCGGCAGTCAGACGAGATGGCTGAGCTGACTCAGCATCAGCGTGGGGGCCAGGGCGGCACATGTGAAGGCTTGGGGGGCCCTGGCAGCGTTCTGCGTGTCTCTGACTGAGCGGGGCAGGCGCGAGGAGAAAGGAGAGCAGGTGGCCGGCTTGCAGGGGTTTGTGCTCATTCTTGGGGCACCTTTAAGAGTTAAGTGGAGAAGTAACCTCTGTTCAGGGTCTGTCCCTGCTCCCTGACCCCTGTTTTGATAACCTATTTGATGACACACACGGCCCCATGCAACATCCTGTTGTGGTAGAGTTCAGAGGTCTGTGTCTCCCTTAAGGAGCTACACCGTTTTCCTGAGAGCAGTCCGACCCTGGGAAAGGTCAGGGGTCGGTCCCTGGCAGTGTGTGCTCTGGGCCAAACGAACTGCCACCCATTGGGCATCAGCATGGCCCGACCAGACACCCCTGTGTTGACACAAGTGACCAGAGAGGCAGTGGTGGGAGTGACCAGAGGGCTTTAGAGAGACGGCAAGGCTGGTGCACGGGGGCAGAAAGGACTGCAGGGCCCAGGCTTCAAAGAAGGGTCTGGGGCCAGAGTCATCACTGTCCCTTCTCCCTTAACTAAGTTTTAAAAGGAACCTTTCGGGTGCCCACTTTAAGCACTAGGATGGGCCCCAGAGGACAGCAGGGAACAGAGGCATCCCTGCCCTCTGGAGCTCCCATGCTGGGCTGCCTTCAGAGCCCTAAAATCTTCCCAGATTAGCGGTCAGAGTGTGAGCAGCCACTAGGGTGCGTGGCGGTGGTGACAGGCCCGAGCCCTGGCGCTTGGGCTGAGGCTGGGTGAGTGCGGCAGAGCTGGTGCTCCAGGCTGTCCACGATGGGCTGGCGGCCCTGACACAGTCCATCCTCCCCCCCGCCCCCCCGTGGGTCCAGACCCCAGCGTGCTGAGCCACGTCCTGGAGGGCCACGGGGACGCCGTGTGGGGCCTGGCCTTCAGCCCCACCTCCCAGCGTCTCGCCTCCTGCTCCGCTGATGGCACCATCCGCATCTGGGACCCCAGCAGCAGCAGCCCGGCCTGCCTCTGTACCTTCCCCACAGCCAGCGGTGAGTGAGGGACGGGGACAGTGGGGACCCTGACGCCTCACTCAGGAGCCGTATAGAGCTGGAGGCCCTGGAGGAGGGTGACGCCTGCACCCCAGGCCCGGGGCAGGACCAGTCTGTTAGGCAACCGTCCATCCCCTCTGCCCTCAGATCACAGGATCCCCACCTCAGTGGCCTTCACCAGCACCGAGCCGGCCCACATCGTGGCCTCCTTCCGCTCTGGCGACACCGTCCTGTATGACCTGGAGGCTAGCAGTGCCCTCCTCACGCTGGAGTCCCAGGGGAGCAGCGGTAAGCGGCCCCGCCGGGGCTGGGATCTGAATGCCTCCAAGGCCGCAGTTCTCCTGTGGCTTTGGTGACAGGCTCGGTCAGCTGCAGATGGCTCCCCACCCCCGTGGGGGCTCTGAGTGGGAGGGAGATGAGGCCTCAGCCACTGCCCTAATGGACAGCCCTGAGTCCCGGGAGGGCTAAGTGGAGGGAGAGTGTCAGGGACTTGCCTGTCGGCCCACTTGGTGGCGTGGACGAGCCACCTCAACGTCCGTCACCCCTCCTGCCCACTCCAAGACAGGCCCTGTGCCCATGTGCAGAGGAGACACTGGCCTGAGAAGGGCGTGGCCTGGGTGCCCCGCCCTCCCCTTCTAGGCAGACGGATGTGGCAGAATGGTCCTCCTCTTGCCTTTGTCCCTGTTCCCCAATTTCCCCCTGATGTCCCTCCTCCCTGCTTTCCCTTCCAGGCCCAACCCAGATCAACCAGGTGGTGAGTCACCCAAACCAGCCCCTCACCATCACCGCCCATGACGACAGAGGCATCCGCTTCCTGGACAACCGGACAGGTGAGGCCCTGCCTTCCTGGCCCCCCAACTCACTGTGCTTGTGGGAGGTGGGTGGGCCAGGCTCAGACACAGAACCCCTGGTGTCCACATTGGAGGCTCTGAGCACCCTTTCTAGGCCCCACCTTCCCGGGTGAGGCCGACAGTGGACCGTAACCCGCCGCCCTCTGCCCTCAGGGAAATGCGTGCACTCCATGGTGGCCCACCTGGATGCTGTCACCTGCCTGGCTGTGGACCCCAATGGCGTGTTCTTGATGTCAGGAAGTAAGTTGCTCTTAAGGAGCAAGGGCATGTGCCTTCCCCAGCCGGCTGGGCACTGGCCCCGAGGGAGTGCTCGGTGGACTCCTAAGGGGGGGGACGCGCTGGGCAGGGGGCCTTAGGGCAGGAAGAAAGGTGGTCATGATGAGCAGAGCCCCTCCTAGGCACTTTCCTACATCATCTCCTTTCCTCGGAATAACCCGACGAGGTGGGTACTTTTATCCCCATTACACAGAAGTGGAAACTTACGTCACTGGCACAGCCCAGTGGGTTGCAGGCGTTGACGTTCTGGTCTATTTGATTCGGTCCCCACAGGCTTTTATAGCATTTGCTGCCGCCCTGCTCTCTGTGGTTAAGGGCACTGAGGCCCAGCGACTGTGCTGCGGTGCCTTGAAGGGATGGGGTGCGATGTGGCCACTGGAGAAGGGGCCGAAGCTCCCCAGGGGGTGATGGGTGTGGGCTGGTGGGAACGGGGCTGCCATCTGCCTCCGCTCCGCAGGGTGGGATCTCCGTGGGGTGTGAGGAGGGAGTGCACAGAAGGGTGAGCAAGGGTGGGGGGGCGGGGTGTGTACGGGCCTGGACTTCTCCTGCTCTCTGTCTGCCCAAGATGGCAGCAGCTGCCTCCGAGGAGGTGGGCGAGGGTGTGGTCAGGGAGATGTAGCCCTGGCAGAGGGGATTCAGTACAGGGGCCAGCACCCTCCAGAAAGGGACGAAGAGAGCTGGCCTCCTCCGCAGCCTGGTCCTTCTAACACAGTGGTTCTCAACCTTCCTAATGCCGCGACCCTTTAATACAGTTCCTCATGTTGTGGTGACCCCCAACCATAAAATTATTTTCGTTGCTACTTCATAACTGTAATTTTGCTACTGTTATGAATCATAATGTAAATATCTGATATGCAGGATGTATTTTCATTGTTACAAATTGAACATAATTAAAGCATAGTGATTAATCACAAAAACAATATGTAATTATATATGTGTTTTCCAATGGTCTTAGGCGACCCCTGTGAAAGGGTCGTTCGACCCCCAAAGGGGTCACGACCCACAGGTTGAGAACCGCTGCT